ATGACTGCATATTGTGATTAACAGATTATTAATGATTAAGACAGCTTTAACTGTTCTCCTAGTTTATAATTTGATAGTCATTCAGCCACACAAACTCTGAAACAGGTTTTACTTGTTTTTCTCCTCTCTAGTTAATACCATCGATTATGGGTTGGAGTTGCTTACTTTTAATTAAGAGATTGTTAAGAGAGGCTTTTTAGTGAGAAATGTTGTTTTATCAAACAGCTTTAACTTTGTGACATAAAGAGAGAAAATCACACTAATAACTTGTATCTGTAACTTGTTGGCTGAAGCTTCCTGTCACCTTCAGATAAATAACAGGGAAGAATTGCTCAACACTCAGTTTACAGAGGATTAATTAAACAAAGCAAACTAAATAATTCTTTACCCAAAACGTGAGGCATATTTTATAGGCATTAGCAAACATCCTTTTCCCGACTTATCCATTACGCCTCTGTTAACTCAGAGTTTTATTTATTTGTGTTGTTAGGTGTGACACAGCTTTCATGATATTCACCTCTCCCTGTGTCAGAAAGTTAAACTGATTACATTTTTCAAAAACTGTAATACTGTAGACTAATAGATAATTTTTATGTGAATGAGTATGCTTGTAATTTAAGAGAAGGCGCACTAAGTGCAATGTAATCCACTCCATATTAAACCCACTTCATTGTATCTTTAAATGTAGAATAAATGATGCATTAGAGACAAGGGTAAAGTCATGTGAGTGAAAATACAAAAAAATGAATCCACCAGGAAATGAGAGAACGTACCTGTGTAAGTCTGCTGCTCGTTTGAGTGAGGACAGTCGTAGCTCCCTTTTTGTTTTGCGTTTCCTGGTAAATGAAACCAGAGCAATAAGCTCCGCTAGTCTTCAAGAGGAAGTTTGATAATCCAGCTGTTTAGATGAGGCTAACAAAGAGCACCACCAGTAGTAGTTTAACAGTCACGTAAATGCAGATTATTGATCTTTTTACGAGCAGGTTTAGGTCCAAAGTTTGAATATGGACGTGTCTGCCCGACTGCAGGGTGAGAGATTGCAGTAGTGCCTGTAATCTAGAAGCTGGTTACAAATGAATTTCAAATAGTGTACAGATGTTTTTAATGGCAGCGTTTTCTTGTATGATTTGTTTGGTAATTCAGGTTTTCATCATTTAAAGGTGTTCTATCATTGCTGTCATCATATAATCATATATCTTTCTGCTGTCATATGTAGAAAGATGCGATTGTGTTACAACTCAAACTTTATTTTTTCCAAAGATTTATTTATTGCTTTTCCAAAGGTATTTTAAACAAGGAAGACAGAAAAATAAAATAAA